TTTGCTAAGGAAGGGAGGTGGGTGGTGGGTAGTGAATGGCATCAGCCCCTGAGGGCTCTTCCTTGCTGAGCCATAGTTTGGTCTTACAGGTTTGGCAGTGATTCCTTCTCCCTGGGTGGAGTCCCAGAAAGTCTTGTCTGGGGTCTGCAGTGGTGCTTTTGGACTGTCTGTCCTTGGGCTGCACGAAGGACTCTGGCAGGGCTCAGTGTCAGCCCAGAGTTGGTCACTCCAGCTCAGGCCTTTGCCCCTTGGGATGTGTGCGGCTGTTCAGGGGCTTACAGAGGGAATGGGAATCTCCTGGGGCTGGAATTTCTCTTGGTCAGACATAGATTCCACCTCAGAAACACAAGGAATCCTCGTGCCACCATCTCCTTCTTGTGTTCTTCTGGCTTGTTACTCCATGAAAATTCTGTCCTCATTAACTTCATTCCCACTCTAATGGGTAAAACTCCCAGTAAATTACATTCCCAGAAAAAATTATTAAAAAAAACCAATTGAGGCCTGTCTCTTTTTGCTGTTTCCTAAAATGGCCCAAAGAATCCTTGTCTCACATGATGCTTTGATGCAGAACGAGTGCTCACCTTCCTCAAGGCAGGATGGATTTTTCTACAACACGATTTCCAACAGACTGGATTTGGGTGTCCTGCTTTTTAAGAGGCTGATTCCAATACTGTCTCTTCTTTTTCCCCAAACTCATTTTCTTTCTTCTTTTATTTTACAAACATAAAATGGTCTGTTACTGCCAAAAATATATCCTAAGTAGCCATCCACGAAATAACTCTCCAAAGCAAATGAAGTATCATAATTTTCCTAGGCCGAGACTGGGTTTCTTAAATTCTCATTTGTAAGATGGAAGGACCCTGGAATTCTTTCTTTCTGGCTCTCCTTCTTCCCCTCTTTTCCTCCCCTTTCCCTTTTTGGTGTGTGGTGTGATTGTAAGTAACGCTTGCCTTAAGAATCTCATTATTTGAACACGGAGCCATATTTCCTCTGAGAATTCTGGAGTAGCTTTGAGCCGGGGCTGTTCATTTCTCAAGTAATCATGCTGGCGTGATGGAGAGAGAAAATGGCAGCTGTTCTCAGCTCAGGCCTTCAATTTTCTTCAGAGTCCAGTCACTCAAGTGTGTAATTACACGGGGGTGCCGGCGAGGCGTTAGCCCTTGTCAAAGAGCTGGTTTGAGGCTTCGCTGCTGCCTTTGCCAATCGGAGCAGGCGAAGCCAACGCCCGGCTGTATTCTGTTGTTGTCATCCCATTGTTTCTTGCTAAAATGGGACCGAAACTTTTGGCCTGGTTCGTTGCCCCTTGCACAGGCCGTGTCGGGGAGGCAGGGCCTCGCTGGGCCCTGCCTTGGCCGTCTGAGGGAGCGAGGGGCGTGCGGGGAGGCCTCAAAGAGCTTTCCTTTTCCCTTCCTGTGTGGTCGCTCTTCCCACCGCTGTCAGTTGTTTCTGCTCAAGTAAAGACCAACGTCCCAGTTTGCTGGAATTTGAAAGAGCAGAGGTGGAAGAACCCTTCTGGGTGACCCGAGTGCTGCTGGAGCCGCCGCTGCCAGTGCGGTGCCGCCTTGCCATGGGGTCTGCCCTCGTGGGTGTCACAGGGACTTCTCTGGAGTGGGAACAGGGGCTCCGGAGGGGCAATGTGCCTTTGGTCACCCATGGCACAGCTGGCTTTCCCTGAGTTTCAGGACATGCTGTGAAACAAATGATGGTCACTCCTCTTCCATCTGACTCTTCATGTCCGAGGGACCCGGTGGTGCGTTTGGTGTCACCATGGTGGAGGCTGTGGTGTTTTATGGGTGGCCAAGATGTTTCTGTGGGATGGGTTAAGTTTGTCCAAGGGCAGCGACATGTCCAAGTACCTCGATGCCTCTGTGGCTGTTATTGATGTATCCCAGGAATCCATTACTAACAAGCGGCTCCGAGGATGGTTTTAATAATAGTGCTGTGCTGCCATCATTCACCTTTTGTAGCCAGCAGGCTCCTAAGGCAGGGTGGGAACTACTTCATCCTTCATATATTTGTTGAAATACAGTGTGATTTGTTGTTGTATGTTCATTTTCTGTACTTAACTGGCTGCTCTATGCAGGAGGAATGGCTGGTGGCATGGCAGGAGTCCCGTGTCCTATCGGATTTCTGTTACCTGGAGCAGCAACATTACAACACCCTGGAATTTGTGTTTCAAATCCGACCAAGGCAGTTTTTGAATTATTCACTGTGAATTCCCACAGTGTCCTGGAGTGGATAAATGCACAAAACTTTCTTTGGGAGCAATCACTGCAATGTTTGCTGGCCCAAGACTGGTTAGGAGGGGACAGCAACCTGATCAGAGTTAGGAGCTTAGATTTTTTTAATCAGAGGGATTTGGGTCTCTGCCTGAGAGACCTGTGTCATTGTTCCTAGAGGTGCCATCGTGTTTGAGTGGGGTCAGAGAGAAAGGGATCAAGAGCAATGTGGGAGAAAAGCTCTTTAGCTTTGGAATCTCATGAGCTGTTCTTGTCAGTCAGTCTATGGGACTTGTGTTATTTGTGTTTGGTTTTTACTTTATTTTCTCTGACAGGCTTATCTATCTAACCTGCTGCACAGAGGTTTCCTCTTATACTTTTCTATTTCTTGGATCTTCAAAGGGCCTTTTCTGGACTGTAGGTGTTCAGAATATCTTAAAACTTTAAGGCACCAACTCTTTCTTGTGGCAAATTCCTGTTTCATCTCACATTTCCCTCCTGTGATTAATTTACCAAGACAAGCTGTTAAGTGCTGTGTGGAAGGAACACGTTAGAGGCTCCTAGAGGGTTTTCAGCTTTGGGAGTGGGAGGCTCACAAGAAGAGTTGAAGACTGTGGGATTATTCATGGTGGAAATCAAAACTATTTTTGGAAGAAAGTCTTTACTGTTTGCATTTTACTGAATGGAAGAATTCAGAAGAGTTTTGGAACAGCATTAACACTGGCAGTTATGCTCTTTGGTTTTGTTGTGTGTATGTATTCCAGGCTTGAACTCCTTTGAGGGAGGATGGAAGATGGTTTCCCTCTTGTTATAATAATTTCCTGTTCTGTTCATTGCCAGGACCAGCTCTGTGGCCGTGACCCCACCTTGACAGATGAGCTGATCAATATTCTGACAGAGCTGACCCAGCTCAGCAAGACGACCAATGCCAAGGTGGCCCTGCGGGCACGGCAGGTAAGGGAGTGTGTCCAGCAATCCCAGCTGATCCCTGATTCAGTATGGAACTGTTCCTGCCTGGAGCTCACTCTTCTGGGAAGTCTGTATCTCTTGATGTTTGTTTTGATTACTGTTCAAATGGAGAGAGTAGATACTGTGAGCAGCTTTGACAGTGAAGCTCATTAACCAGTGACTGACTGTGGTGACAGGCTAAGATTGCAGTGGATTCCCAATCACTGTAATATTTAAAGTTAAGATACATTCCTTTGTCCCTGCTCCTCCAAAAAGTTTTGTCTGGCTCACACAGGAGGGAATTGGGAGTAGCCCAATGGTTTGTGTGACAGAGGAGGTGGAAATACATGGTCACTGTGGCTCCTGGTGGCTTTGTCATCTGCAAACCGACCAGCACAGGCTGCCTGGATTGTACAGGAACAGCAAGGACATGCTCTCCATGTTCCTCAGCTGCCTTACAATTGTGGATCCCTGTGTATAGAGGACAGAGAGAGCCATTTACACAAGAACCAGATGTTCTTTGCAGCTGCTAAGGAATTATCACAAAGGATTATGTTGCTCTTTTGGTTTCTTCCAGCTTTTGAGTTGCATTTTGTGAATTTTTTTTTAACAGGAAAATAATTGGAAAAACTCTTGATACTGTCAGTTCTGAGAGTCTAGTGCAGAACTAATTTAAATGTTATGTGACCACACAGATATTGCTGTGAGCTTCTTCTTTAGCAGTTTGGTTTAACTCTTCCTCTGTTGCAGGAAGGGGTGAGAGGGCACAGTGGTTTTGTGGTAACACTGACCCCGAAGTCTGATCACTTCTCTCATTCCACAGTCCCTATCTCCAACCTAAAAGTCTAAAGCAGGAAAGCTGACACTTTGGAGATCTCTCCTTTCATTTCTTAGCTTGACTACTCAAAATGAACAGGGTGTTTGAAGCTGCTCAGTGACCTTCTGTTTCCTTCAGGGTTGTGTTTGTGTCCTTGAACCATTCTGTTATTGAACCTCTCCCGCAGCAACCGGGGAGGGTGCTGCAGTCCCTGTGCTGCTCTTTCACTTCATTTTCCCTGCAAGCTGCTTCCCTTTTCTATCTCTGCATCCTTCATGTTGGGTATTTAATACGTGCCACTGGTGTCTGTTGTCTCCCCTGCTCCAGAGCTCTGCGTGGGCCTTCCCACAGCTGCTCCCTGCCGGCTCTGCTTCCCAATTAACAGCCGGCCCGGCAATCCCCAGGACTGCTCTGCACTGCTAAATCACATGCACTGATGGAACTTGATTGAAGCTGTTCCTTTTCTCTGTGGGGAATTGCCAGTGATACAAACAGAGCGGATAAACAAATGAGGCTGGGGAGAGGAGGGAGTTTGCAGCATCCCTCAGGTGCCGCAGAATTCCCGGGAGGAACCGGTCGCCTCTTCAGGGATGGAGCCTCCCACCCATGGCCCAGCGTGGCTTCTCTCACTGACACTCCTGGTGTTTGTGGTTTTCCAGGTTCTCATCGCTTCCCACCTGCCCTCCTACGAGCTGCGGCACAACCAGGTCGAGTCCATCTTCCTGTCCGCCATCGACATGTACGGGCACCAGTTCTGCATCGAGAACCTGCAGGTACCTGCCACGCTCCTCTCCTCGCTCATCTTCGTGTTTCTGTGAGAAATCTCACCTCCAGTCCCAAGGTCCTTGTGGCTTTCAATGGTGTTGGTCTGGTTTCCAGCTTTTGCCCCCTGTTTTGTTTTTGTTCCTCCGCTGATATCAAAATCACCTCTTGGCAGTCTACACCTTCCTCACAGGGGACAGTGGAGGAGAGGTGCTGATCTCCTCTCTCTGGTCACCAGGCACAAGGAAATGGAGTGAAGCTGTGCCAGGGGAAGTTCAGACTGGACATTAGGAAAAGGTTCTTCACTTGAGAGGGTGGTTGGGCACTGGAACAGGCTCCCCAGGGATGTGGTCGTGGCCCAGAGCTCAAGGAGCTTCTGGATGTCACTGCTCATCACGTGGTTTAGCATTGGGTGGTCCTGTGAGGAGCTCAGTGATCCTTGTGAGTCCTTTCCAACTTCAGATATTCTCCAATTTAATATAAAAAGTCCATCATCCTTGATGAACAGTGGGAAAAGCTTAGAAATCAGAGCTAGTCAGACTTGATTTGGGGTTTTTCATTTTTTGCCTGGCCCTGTTTGCAAGATGGTTCTCTTTTAAATCCCTGCCTAATGTGATCTCTTCCAGAAACTCATTTTATCCGAAACATCCATCTTTGATGTGCTCCCCAACTTTTTCTACCACACTAACCAGGTGGTAAGAATGGCAGCTTTGGAGGTAAGTTTATTCCCATTGAAAAAAAAATGAGTATTTTTAATTTTTCTGTGTGTTTGGTTTGTTTTGAGCACTGTTACCCTGCAAGATCAAGAGAGCTGTAGGTTGTGTGGAATGGGGCACACTTGGAGTCTGGCATTTAACAGCATTAATGTTCATAATTGACTGAAATTTCAAATTCAAGCTTTCTATGTGTGAAGAGGTCTGAGGTGGTTGAAAGCAGAAGTGAAGCTTCTGTCAGAGGATGGGGTCATAATCCTGATTGTTCTGTCCTGCCAGACTGGCCATCCTCAAAAGAACAACTTCAAATTCTCAGTGAATTAGAGTTCTATCTAGGTACTCATTTGGAGGCACCTGTTTGGCTTTTAATATTTTTGAAGTCTCTGGTGTGTTGTTTGCCTTCTCCCTCTGCTTCCCCAGCCGGGTGGGGCTGATGCAGCCTCTCTGTCCCCAGGTGTATGTTCGGAGGGCCTACATTGCCTACGAGCTGAACAGTGTCCAGCACCGCCAGCTGAAGGACAACACCTGCGTGGTGGAGTTCCAGTTCATGCTGCCCACCTCCCACCCCAACAGGTCAGATCCCGTCTTCGGGTGCCTTTGGAGCTGGAGCTCTGTGAGGGGCTCATCCTGCCTTGGCAAAGATAACTTGCAATAGGATGGGTGGAGAAAGGGAGAGCCCCAGTGCCTCAAATATGCATAAATTTCTTAAGATAAAACCTACATTACCCAGTTCCTTCTCCTGAGTTGTTTAAAACTTCAGGAGCTGGTGGTTGTAGTTTGTGCAGTTTGGATTCATTTAAATATGATACAGTTTTCATGTGTTTTCTGATTTTTAACTTCAGCTTGGGCAGTAACTTATCTCTAGAACATCAGTCCTGGCTGAATCCCAAGCCTTCCAAAAGATACAGTTCCAGACAGAATAATCAGTTACTCAGAACTTTAATACAGAACAGTCAAACAGCCTCTGTCCCCTTCCTGCCAGCCCTTTCTGTTTGTGTTGGCTCTACTTTCCCCCTTGGCTTTGCTGGATAAGGTGACATCTTCTGTAGCAGATGTTTTTTTGGAGCAGACCAAGATACACATTTGAGTGTTTTGTATAAAATGCTGGAATTGACATAGTTTGGTTTTTAGTCAATATTTTGCATTTCTCATGACTGCAGCCAAAAGTACCAGCTCTTGCTGCCCTGTCTAGAGAAGGGTGGCATCTCTCGTGCATTTAAAGAAAGAAAACCAAACAAACTCGCTTATCAGAGCTTACAGAATAATCAAATCATTGAATCATAGAGTGATTTGGGTTGAAAGGACCTTAAAGATCATCTTGTTCCATGGGCAGGGAACCTTCCACTAGACCAGGTTGCTTCTCCAGCATCTGCCAGGTCAGTCAGTCGCTGTGTTTTCTCACTCAGGAGGGTGTTTTAGCTGATATTTGATGTTTGGCTGTGCTGGCCGCAGTGAGGCCCCGCGGCCACCGGGTGCCACTGTTGGTCTGTGCTGCTCCTGCACCGCTGCTCTTTCCCTCCTTTGTTTCCAAGCATCTTTTTCCCGATTTTATTTTTGGTGGGGTCCGGTCTCGCTTCGTTGGGAATCCATCAGTACCTTTCATGAAATGGTTTTCAGGACCTGGTTTGCTGGAAATGAATGGCTGTCCCCAGCCAGCCCCACCAGCCACTCCTGCTGCAGACAGGACATGAGTTTGGGCTCATCTGGTTCCTACATTTCTGGAATATTTGTCAATAATTGCATACTATTTTTAGTACCCCTTTATAATACTCTCTTCCCCCCTCGTTCTTTCTCCATCTCTTCTCTGCTGGCCTCAGTTACCTTTGTTGCTTGGGGATTTTTGGCCTGCCCGTGCTGCCCACTGCCCTGTTCTGTGCACATGCTTAATCTGACAAGGTCAGCTGGGAGAGAACTGTTCCTGCTCCAGGAACAGCTCTTTGTCCTCCAATCTCCTCTCCCCTTGCACTGAACGGGCTGGGACCATGTTCTGAGCTCAGTTCTGCTCCTCAGCCATCGGTGCTGCTGATGGGTGACAAATGCATCGCAGCCCTTGTGCAGAGGGAAGCAGCTTCAGGGGCCTGTTCACCACCTGAAGAGGAAGGTTCTGCTCCTTTGAGGTGCCTCCACCTGCCAGGGATGATTTTGGCTCCTGGTGCTTGATGCAGCTTCTTGCTCTCCCTCTGGCGTGGCTGTTGCGTACCCAGGGTGAAGCACAGGGTGCCCAGGGGCTGAGGGTGTGGATTTAAGGAGCTCTGAAGGCACCCCCGGTGTTAAACCCAAGACACAGAAATCCCAAAATTCTGACATTGTCCTGCTTAAGTCTTTTTTGTTGTTTTTGACCATGTTCTGTGTTCATCACGTGCTTTGCTGTATCTTTGTAGCACGAACTTTTAGACTGAAAAGCTAAAAATGCATTCCAAGGGCAAACCCCAAAGCCAAAATATCCCAAAATGCCCCTTGAGGCTCTGCAGGGCTGGTGAACCAGGAGCAGATATCACAGAGCCCTTAAGAGAGCATTCACTTTTGGAACTGGTGTTATATGATGCCACACATTTTTCAGCACTTTGTTAGATATTTTTAAACCCTGGTCCCTTTTGTGTCAGATTTCTGTGAACCTTTGAGAGCTCGAATTTTACTGAAGCAAATGTTCATGTAGAGAAAATGGCAAACTGATAATGGTTTAAATTCTAATTAAATTTATGAATTTATATTTAAATTCTTTTTTTATTGGTATTTAACCCAGCTATGGCTTTACTTAATTGTGACAGAAACAATCCCAATCACTACTTCTGAGCTGCCTGATCACAGCTTGGACTCAGACTTTGTGTTTTTGCCCATGGAAAGATTTCCATCAGCTGCCCACAGGAAAGCTTTAAATGGAAGCAGAGAGGACAGAAAAAGTGTTAAATCTGCTGACAAAGTCACTGAAATGCAACCTGCTCCTGGTGGGTTTTGTGGGCAGAAACTGTTTGGGGAATTATTTGTTTAAAAGAAAACATCCTATTGTAATAATCCACCCCGATCCCGACGGTGAGGGAGAGTCCTAGGGAGAAAAACAGCTTCTAATGGAAATCACAGAGGGCTTCCCAGATCCAAGCAGCATTCCTTCAGCCCACTGTGGGCAGATGAGCAGTGCAGTGTCACCATCTGGCAGCAAATGGAGTTTGTGAGCCCTCTCCAAGCAGAGCGGCTGCAGAAATCCAATCTGGAGCAGGCGATCCAAGGGGATCTCCGGGATGCCAATGGCTCCACGCTGCAGAGGGTACTGCAAAAAACAACTGCTGTGTGCAGAGCTCTTGCCTTGGCATAACCTGCCTCTCTGAGCCAGCCAGAGTCCTGGGGAGAAAAGATGGGAAGAAGAAATGAGCCCTGTTCGGAGCTGTTCTCTGCTTCCCTCTTGTTCTGCCTGCCCTGCTGAGATGGGAAGCGAGTGGAATATTGACTGGTGTTCAGAGAGTTCAGCTGCCTTTGTGAGGGTGGCAGCCCAGGTGACAGACACTGAAAGGCCTTTCTGAGGTGTTCAGCACACGAAACAGGCCTTGCCTAATCTTAGCTTAAAATCTTCTGTTCAAAGAAACATTGTGTGTCGAGGAGAGGGAATTATAGTGCTTTCTCAACAAAAGTGTTTTCTTCTAATCCCTTCTCCTCTCCTGCTTTCCAACAGCCTTTCTTATGTCTGAAGCTGTAAGGTTTAAATTAAACTGGGACATTGTCTGCTGTAGCCAGCTCTTGGAGCTGCTCTGCTCGTCCCAGAGCATCCCCTTTTCTCCAGCTCCCCACGTTCCCCTGGCCAGGGTGTTCAGCTGCTCCCTTGATCTCTCCTTCCCCAGTAGCAGATCCTGGAGGATCAGAGGGGAAGAACTTGGAGGTAAATGTGTTCCCACAAAACAGATCCGTGTTTTTCTCCGAGGTGGATGTGTTCCCTGTGTCAGATGCTAAGACAGGTGCTGACAAGGTGACTTAGAGGTGCTGGATATACCTTTATTTTTGGGTATGGCAGTGATGCCACAGGGCTCTGCCTTCTGATATGTTGAGCCCCAAAGGAAACTGAAGTATAACCCAGCCAGTTTTGCTCCCTGGTGCCTCAGCCATGCCTTCCCAATCCGTGTGGGCACTGAGCCCACACCTTCCCTTTGTCCCATGTGCCACCCCCAGCTGCCACACTTGGCCTTGAGGTGCCCTGAGAGAACTTGGTCAGGATGTGCCATTGGAAGGAGGAAGTAAGGAAGGTTTTAGCACTGCAGGCCAAGACTTTAGGTTTTGATAATGGGCTTGCTTAGCTTTAAAGCAAGTTTTACTTTGCAAACTTGATAAACAAGATGTCTCACACCAACCCACCATAGAATGGCCTGGGCTGGAAGAGACCTTAAAGACCATCTTGTTCCAACCCCCTGACATGGGCAGGGACACCTTCCACTAGTCCAGGCTGCTCCGAGCCCTGTCCAAGGGTATCTCCATCAGTATAAATGTCTCAACCAGCATGTGCTTGGTTTTGCCCAGAATCTCCTCTCTCTGTGCTTGTGGATGTTTGTTGTCACTCTCCTTGGACTTGGA